TTATTTGTAACTAATGAATGAATGAAAATACCTGGGACAATTCAACATTAAAAGGGCTTGGGAGTCTTTGAGAGCTTATTTTAGAATGAAAGTTTCCTGATATTAAAGTTTCATGGGGGCAGGAAGGACAAGGACAAGGAAGGTAGGCTGACAATTAGTTAATGAGCATTTATTAAGCACTTACCACTGGGAGGTTTTGTTTTAAGTGTTGGAGGTATCAAGAAAGGATAAAAAAACCCCCAAAAAACATTGTCCCTGCCACCCAGGAGCTTATATTCTAATGAAGATACATACAAGATACAGAGATGGAAGATGACCTCTGAAGGGGGAGACTCTAGTACCTGGGAGGCTAGAAGAAAAATGGTGTCTGAGCTGAGACTTGAAGGAAGTCAGAGATTCTAAGAAATGGAGGAAGAGCATTCTAGGAATGGGGGCCAGACAGTGTAAATGCTCTTAGATGGTAGATGAAATGTGTGAGATAGACAGTTCTGCTGAGTTGCAGAATGAGTAGAGAGGAGCACCATGTAAGAAGTAACATGTATACAGGGAGGACGGGGTAAGGTTGTAAAGAGCCTTAGTGCCAAACTTATATTTCATCTTGGAGGTGATGGGGAGTCACTGGAGTGTAAGAGACCAGAAGGTGACATGGGGTGGGAGGGAGGGTTCAAATATTTAAACCTCTGCTTTAGGAAAACTTTTCTGGCAGTTGAGTAGAAAAAGGATTGGGGTGGGGAGAGATAGGAGTCATGGTTACAAGTAAGAAAGCTTTTGTAATCATTGAGATGACAAGTGATAAGGGCCTGAAGTAGGGCAGTGGTTGGTGAGAAGTAAGTGAGCCTAGGTGCCTGGGATGGGGGTGGTGCTCTCAACAGTAATAGGTAAGTTGGGAAAAGGGGAGAGTTTTGGGAAAAGGTAATGAGCTCCATTTCGGACATATTATGTTTGAAATGTTTAAGGGACATATAATTCAAGATGTCTAAGTATAAGTCAGGAAAGTGGGACTGGAGCTCAGGAGAGAGACTAAGGTAGAATCTATAGATCCAGGCATCACCTGCTCAGAGATGAAAACTGAAGGGGCAGGTCCCTGACGATAATTGAGCCCATGTGAGTTGTTGGGTTTATCAATGACATAGAGAGGAAAGAGAAGATGGCCCAGGACAGAGCCTTGTGAGGAGGGACACCCACAAGTGAATTGAATCCAAGGAAACTGGGGAGGTCATTGAGGCAGTGTAGAGCAAAAGGAGAAAAGGGACCCGGTCAAACTGTGGGGAATCCCCATGGTCAAAGAGAGCAACATCCTTGAAGATGCAGCAAAGGGGAATGAGAAGGAGCAAACAGGAAGGTGGGAATCCATAGGAAAGAAATTTCATAAAAGCCTAGAGAGCAGACCATTCGGCAGGAGAAGATAAAGGTTGGAAATTAAGAAAAGGCCGTTAGACTTGGCAATTATTACTTTTGGAGAGAAATGTTTTAGGTGAATGAAAGGGTCAGAAGCCAGGCTGCAGAGGGTTAATAAGAGTGATCTGCAAATTGGAGTTTGAAGTAAAATTGATATGAGTTGCAAATTGTCTGTTCTGGCCCTAACATGGGAAGTGTCCGTGGCTGACACTGGATATGGACTAGGAAGGGCCTTCCTTGGCTCAGGCTGAACTTTCCCAGGGAGTATGGAGAGGATGTGACTGCAAAGTCCTTACTCTAGGAAGTTAACACCAGGCAAGGCAAGAAAAGAAGCGTTGATGAAGCTCTTATTATGTGCCTTGCACTGGACATGCAAATACAATAAATACAGTACTGTACAAATACAATAAAAAGAAAGATGGCTCCTGACATCAAGGAGCCTACATTTCAAATGGGTTTTTCAGAGAGCTGAAAAACAAGAGGGGCAGCGGTGAGGATAATATATTTGTGGGGGTATAGTGGTGAACCAGAATTAGAGCAAGTTGGAGAATGAAGGCTACCTGGTCTGCATCCTTCCCTAAAATTGAGGCCCAGCAAGGAACTCACTAATGGAATAAGGAATGAAAGGGGAGGAAAGGATGTTCCAGGGTGAGTAAGCTAGGAAAAACAGTTGTCAGCCTAATGAGGCAGAGTCAGAATCCATTGCCAAAGCCACAAGGTGATGAACTGAGGAGCCAGCCAGAAGTCATGTCCAGATCAGAAGCAAAGGGTGGGATCAGAATTTGAGGAATGAATGAAGAGTCTGAGGGTTAAGCTGAAGAATTCAATACCAAGAAGAAAGAGAGATTCTGACTTTTACATGCAAGTCACATAATTTGGGGTATTCAATGTGTGCTTTGGGCTCATGTCTGTCAATGCCACGTGTCTGAATCTGTCTCTGCCTGGTTCTTTCCAAATTACCTACGGGTAGATAGCTCTCCTTCGAGGCAGATTTAGTCTCTGAGGAAGTAGCTGCCCCTAAGGAGAGAATAGGTGGGCAAGGTAGCAAAGATGCTTGGCACACAGTCAATTTTGTACTAGGACAGTAATTTAAAAATACCCTATCTGCAAGGGTAGATTCTAACAAAGATCATACAGAGGTGTGTATGTCTGAACACACACACACACACACACACACACACAACACACAACACACACACATGTTTCACCGAAAGTCTCACTTCTGTCTCACTTGAAGATGTGGCCTTTTTCTTTGCCAAGGCCCTGCTACTTGTGCAAGTGATTTCATCCCATTATCCAATCTTCTCCAGAATATTGCCCCCACTATCTCACTAATCTTCAATCTCTCCTTGTCTACTGTTTTTTTCCTTGTTAGCCACAAATATGCCTATGCCTCCACTACCTTAAAAAGCCCTTCTTTGATTTTTCTGTCTTTACTATTATCCTATATCTCTTCTGCCTTTCACACCTAAATGCCTTGGGGACATCTAAATTTAGTGCTGCTACTTCCTTCCTTTTCACTCTTTCTAAACCTTCTGCAATCTGGCTTCCAACCTCATTCAAATGAAACTGCTCTTTCCAACATTACTCATGATAGCTTAATTGCTAAATCTAATGACCTTTTCTCAGTCCCCATCCTTCTTGACCTCTCTTCAACCTGTCACTTTGTTAATCACTCTCTTGTCCTGGGTAATCTCTCTTTTCTAGGTTTTCAGGACACTGCTCTTTTCTCATTCTTCTCTTACCTGTTTGACCCTTTCTTCCCAGTTTCTTTTACTAGATTTTCATCTGGGTCATGTCAACTAACTATGGGTGTCACATAGGACTCTGTCCTGTTTCATCTTCTATTCTCCTTCTCTGCTAGCTTTCTTGGTAATCTCATCAACTCTCATGGGGTCAAGGATTATCTCAATACAGATGATCCTCAGACCTATTTATCCAACTCTAACCTCTCTTGACCTCCAGTCCTGAATTTCCATGTGCCTCTTGGACATTTCAAACTGGATGTCTCATAGACATCTCAAACTTAATATGTTGAAAACAGAATCTTTCCTTCCAAATGCTTCCCTTTTTCCAGCTTCCCAATTGCTGTTGAGGGTACTACCATCCTTCCAGGTAGCCTAAATTGAACTCACTATTTCCCTTCCCCCAAACCCTCCTCCCCTTTTCCTAACTTCTCCATTAATGTTGAGCTTATCCTCACTCTCCTGGTCATCCTGGCTTGCAATCTAGTTACCATCTTTGACTCTCTTATTACCGCCTCCTCCCCCCACCATGAACAATGTTCTGCCAAGGCCTCTAATTTTATCTTTGTAATGTCTCTTTCATATGCCCTCTTCTCTCCTCTGATCCTGCCATCCATCTCGTGTAGGTCCCCATCACCTCACCTCTGCACTATTGCAATAACCTACTGATTGTTCTTCCTGCGTCAAGTCTTTCCCCACTCCACTTTATTCTTCATTAAGTTGTCAAAGTAATCTTTCTAAAGCACAGGTCTGACCATGACTCTCCCCTCCCATCATCCCTATTCAATAGACTCCAATGGCTCTCTAATACTGCCAAGATCAAATATAAATTCCTCTTTTTGACTTTTAAAGCCTTCCCAAACCTGATCCTTTACTTCTCTCTCTATACTCTGTACTCCAGTGATACTGGCTTCCTCATTCCTCATGTACAACATTACATCTGCCATCTCTGTGATTTAACACTGGCTAGTTCTCATGCCCAGAATGCTCCACCACCTTCTGGTTTCTCTGGCTTCCTTCAAGACTCAGCTCCGATCTCACCTTCTGCAAGAAGCCTTTTCTGTTCTCACTAAATTGCTAGTGTCTTCTCTTTGAGATTACCTTGAACTTACCTGTGTATCTCTTTTATAACCATACGTCTTTGTGTGTTGTCTTCTCCATTAGAGTGTGAATTCCTTTTGGATATTTTGTCTTTCTTTGTGCCTGGTCCACAGTAACTACTTAATAGATGCTTCTTGGCTGAGTGGCACACCCTCTTGGCACACCACTCACTGAGAAACCCTCTTACTTCAATGAGAATGTTGTGTAGCTGTGTGGACTCATGATAGACTTGCAAGGATTTTGTTCCTTCCCTAACATAGCTACCTTTTCACAGATCACTCTTGTTGAGCACTTGCCCTCTGACATGGCATCATGAACATTTTCTCGCCTGAATCCGTGGGAATGTCCCAGTCTTTCCTGAAATTGGTTCTTGAAAACACTGTGGGCTGCATCTTCTATTCTTATTATCTGGCCTCCTCTTCCTTCCTTCTTGTGTAATTTAAAATTGCCTTCTGAGAGACCTCCCCATGCAAAGGATAATAATCAAGGCAGTGGGGAGGAAGAAAGTATCTGGCTTGGGTGATTTTCCTTTTTCAAAACTGTTTCTTTGTCAATCGTTTCTTAGAAGTCTCTTCTTTTATGTTTTTGGAGCCTTTTCAGAGACAAAAAGAAGCAGCATATTTGGTTCTTGATTTGATAATTAGGATCAGAACATTATTATCCTTTAGGTTCTCATTTGGCTGTCCATTGAAGTGCTTCTCTGGTAATTTTCCTCAGACCCTCCATAGTTGCTTGTTTGTATCCCCTTGCACTTACCATTTTTCTATGTAGTTATTTGTCAATTTTTTCCTAGAGAGTAAGTTCCCAACGGGCAGTGGTCACATAATATTTGTGTTTCCTCATAAGAAGTGTGGTATAATGGTAGCCTTGGAGCCAGGAAGACCTGGGTCCAAATCCAACTCTTAGTGGTATGACCCTGTGTAAATCACTTAACCTCTCAGTCTCCAGGCAACTAGATTGTGATCTCCCTCTATTAGACTGTGGGCTCCATCTATGAGACTGTGAGCTCATTGAGAGCAGTGGCTGTCATGCCTTTGCTTGTATCCTGAACACTTAGCACAGTGCCTGGCACACAGTAGGTGCTTAGTAAATATTTATTGACTTACTGACTCTGTAAGATTATAAGCTGTGGAGAAGTTAGAATAATAAGGCTGATATATGCTGATAGAGAGAGTTTCCTACCTGGGGGTTATCTATACTGATGAAATCACTCTGTACAAATTACCGACGATGATAGCTCATGATAGTAGGCATCTGATCTAATCCTTCCCTCAATGGAATTCCCTTCTCTATTATAGGTCTGACAAGTGAGGATTCAATCTGTGCTTGAAGCCCTCCAAGGAGGAAGAACCTACAATCTCTTGAGGTAACTTACTCTACTTTTGGATAATTCTAATTGTTGGAAATTCCACAACACCCCCCTCTTCACCCCAAAGCTATCAAGCCTAAAGGAGAAGCTAAGTGGTACAGTGGAGGGAGAGCTGGCCCTGGAGTCAGGAAGACCAGAGTTCAAAACCTGACTCAGACACTTACTAACTATGTGACCCTGGGCAAGTCACTTACTCTCTGTCTGCCTCAGTTTCATTGATTATAAAGTGAGGATAATAATGTCACCTACCTCATATGTTATCGTGAGGATCAAATGGGACAACATGTGCAAAGCACTTTACAATCCTTAAAGTGCTATAGAAATGATTGCTCTCATTGTTAAATCTGATTCCTTGTGGCTTCCATCCACTGCTCCCAAACCTGCCTTTTGGGGTCAAACAGAATTCCAAGCTAAACAGGCTAAGAGTCTTCAATTGATCTTCCTAGAACATGGACTCATGGCCTTTTATCATCCTTGTTGTCTTCTGCATACCTTCCAGCTTACTGAGGTTTTTAGACTGTGCCATTCAGAACTCAACTTAATGCTGTAGATGATGTCTGAGTAGGGCAGAGCACACAAGGGTCATCGCCTCTTTATTCGGAAGTTATGCCTTTCTTAATGTATCCCCAAACTGCATTACCTTTTTTGGTTTCCACAAAACACTGTTGACGTACTGAGCTAGTTGCAATCCACTAAAACCTCCAGGTTTTTTTCAGACAAACTGCTGTCTAACTATGCTCATCCTATCTTGTATCAGTGACGTTGATTTTTTGGAATCCAAGTGTAAGACTTTCTATTTATCCCATGTTGAATGTCATCTTATTCAATTCATCTCAATGCTGTAGCCCATTAAGATCTTTCTGAATCTTAACACTGTCATTCAATGCATTAACTATTTCTCCCAGCTTGGTGACACCTGTAAATTTGATGAGCATGTCATCTATTCCTTTACCCAATCCATTGGTAAAAATGCTAAACAGCACATGGTCTAGTTATTTTTCTGTCTGTCTATCTATCTATCTATCTATCTATCTATCTATCTATCTGTCTGTCTGTCTATCTACATCTCTCTCTTTATCTACTGTCTATCATCTGTCTATATTTATCATCTATCTGTTATTCATTCATTTCACTCATTCATCTATCACTTATCTATCAATAATCTATGACTTATCTCTATTATTCATTCATTTAATCATCAGTTCATTCATCTATCATCTATCATCATCATCCATTTATCTAGTATTCATTCATCCATCCACCTACCTATCTTTCTGCTTGTATATTTGTTTACTTACTTGATTTATGATTTCCTCTGTATAGGGAGTAACTTCTTTCACCAAACCAGCACTTCACCTTCTCTGGAGCTTCTAGGCTTAGAGTATTGTCTGGGACAATTTAAGAGTGAGAATGTAAGTGACTTGCTTAGGGTGGCATAGACAGCATGGGTCAAGGGCAGGACTCCAACCCGGGTCTTCCTGACTCTGAAGCTTGCTCTCCATCTACAACACCATGTTGCCTCTGGATTGTGTTTTATTAATGGGATGGGGAATCCTTTCTACTCCCAGCTAAAAATCTTCTCTCCTGCCTTGGATTTTCGGAGAGGGTATTGTCTCTCCTCCCTGCCACATCACACTCTATCTTGCATTATATTTTCTCTACATGTCATGCCTCTCCTAGTAGAATTGAAGCTCTGAGGGCAAAGGCTGTCTCTTTTTCATTTTATTGTTTATCTCCAGTGTCTTGTATTCAGCAGGCACTTAATAAATATTTGTTGAAGTTGATTCTGATTTGGGCTATGTTTGGGACAATGGGAAGGTATGGTTAGAGGTGTTGAGGATGACAAGGGAAATATGGAGGATTGCAGGAGATCAGATGTGAGAGAACTTGTGAGGCTGATGGTCAGAAGTGTGGCCCTTGGGTGCATGTTAGGTGATGGAGTACCACTTAAACACAGAGTGGCCCAAGGAAGGGTGCAGCCTCTATAAACCATTCACTGGGTACCTTGAAAACATACCAGTCATTAAAAAATGGCCACAAAAGTAAATGTGAAACATTAATGAAGGCCAATGGAAAGGCTGATTCAAAGCCAAGGTGGAAGATGGAGAAGCCCTTTTCTAATGGGAATCCAAAGGAGAGCATTTTGCCTCCTTGATGACAGTGGAAGAAAATTCCTGACTTAGTGGCAATTGGTTTATAACTCCTTGAAAACAGCCAGAAGAAAGAGGCTCCAACTTGCAGGAACTCTTCTTATTATATGCTTCAATGATTCCTGGAAGAAAAGAAAGCCGTGCATGATTGTTTAGGCAAGTACAAAATAAACAAAGCATATGTTTTCTAACATCTACTGACTGTAATCTGATAGCTGGGCTGTGTGGGGCTCTGCTCATTTTAGGGTTATGTGATGAGAACGGCTTCGGTGGTTCCCAGTTCAGCACATAAATAAACACTGTTAAGACTCTGCTTTAACTTATGCACCTCTGTTTTTCAAATGTATTTACTTTTTTTTTTTTGGACAGGAGTAGAAGGAAAATGCATGTTCCTTGTGTACTTGGACACGTTCCATCCTTTTTTATGCTTCTCCTTTCTCTTTTGAAAGATCCCCCTCACACTGCATAAATAGAAATGTCCCCGAGATTCATTTGATTTCATGGATGGCAGAGTACTCATTTCAAATAACTTAAGGAGAACCAGATAAAATAGCTACAGTATACTGTGTTACCTGATTTAATGCAGGGGACTGTCAGGGGACTAGATGGCAATGGGAAATTGCAATGGGAAACAAAGCTGGCTTTCATTTGACGTTCAGCCGTTTGAATCCAGTGGGGCTGGTTGCGGTCAGAAGTCATTACTACCCGATTTGTCTGTTCACTGGCCCAAGTGAAATAAGTTGGTGGTCTCTGTTCTGCTATTAGTGGAGGAGGCAGGGGAAGGGAGATGCTCCTATACCCATTGGTTCTAATTGCCCTCCTTAAAGGATATCAACAGAAGACTGGCTGGCACAGAGTGACTCCCCTTTTCCGTACCAAATGGTCTTTTCCTTAGGATGAAAAGCGATTCCATGAAGACCTCTGTGTGTGTGTGTGTGTGTGTGTGTGTGTGTGTGTGTGTGTGTGTGTGTGCGTGTTTACTCTTCCAACTTTGCTTCTCAGGCGGTATCCATTCCTGGGTTAAATGGGAAGCATTGCTCCCCAGAGATGTCAATCTGTTGTCTAAGCCTCCACTGAAAGTCCCCTCAATTTATGTCTTCAGAGACAACTGTGAAGTTCTTTGCACTCTTCAGAGTATATATTGTAAAGATGTATTAACCAATAAGATGCCTAGAAGATGAATTGCACTCAACTTCAGGAAAAGATAGCAACTCCTGTTGGACAGTGCCACAGGAGGTATTTAGGGGAGGAAAAAAGGAGTGGTGCTTAACCCACCTGAAAACCTCATTATCTTTATTTCAAATGCTATTTTTAGAACTATTTTTAGCATATAACGTTAATCTTCCGTTTGTGTCCTCCTTCTCTCTGACTTCCTTCATCATGTTTTAATTTGGCTTTGCTTATTCACCCTTATTTTTCTCTTTTTGGGGCCTTCTGAATTATTTAAATTTATATTCTCTCTCTCTCTCTTTCTCTCTTTTTCTCTCTGTCTGTCTCTCTGTCTCTCTCTGTCTTTCCTCCCCTCACCCCCTTTCTCTGCTTTTCCCCAGCCCTAACTGAAAGACTGCGGGGGAGAAACAGACAGTGGTACAACAGTTTTTTTTTTCCTTTTTCCTTTTTTTCTTTTCTGTCTGAATTAAATCATAGCTAGTCCAGGATAGCCATACCAGAGCACGGACATAACCCTTGATCTCACTGGTTAGGATCGGTTAATTTCCTTCAGCACCACGATGTTTACAGAGAGCTGCCAAGGGAAATTGAGTAGGACCAGTGTCCTTTGACAGCCAAACTTGGACTCAAGGCAGAGGTAAAAACCAATAATTTTCACTCTATTTTCTTTCACAAACACCGGGATTCTGGGATCAATCATTTTTCACAATGATTACTTAATAAGAGATGAGCCCTCTGTGGGGTTCTAGGCACTGTACAGAGGGCAGGCACAGTCACAGTCTCTGCTTAGCTCTTTTACCACCTAAAATAGACAGGGAGCATAGTCCCTGAGAAACTATGGAAATAAGTCTATAAGAAAACAGAAGCAAGTTAGATTTTTAACAAAAAGAGTCCATAGGCAATTTCTTCCCCCTCAAATCTGATAAGAACCTGTGGGTGTTTGAGAGGAGTGTCAAGATCACTATTTTCCTTTTTGAATTTAAAAAGGGCTTCGTTTGGTAGAGCAATGATTTTGTGGCATAAGAATTTCCTCCACCGTTGCAGACAGCACCGCATCCATGCCTTCTTCATTCCATTCCATTTAACAAATATTTAATTACCTTCTACATGACACTTCTCTACATTCTTACATCTATTCTTTCTCTACCCAAATGTACTAGATGTTACATCATAGAATTATGGATTTAGTGCTAGATAAGATCTTAAAGGCTATAGAATCCAACTGCCTTATTTTACAGATGAGAAAATTGAATCACAAGAAGGTTAAATGACTTGCCCTGGGTCTTTCTCTAAGCCGTTTAAAATTCTGAGATTACTACTGCAACATTTGTTCATTCGAACAATCAACTTTAATTAAGCACCTACTATGTGCCACGACATTATGCTAAGGTGCTGAAGAGAGAGTCAAAACCTGAAAAAACCCCTCCCTTCAATGAGCTTACATTCTATTTTACACTCAAGTTGTCTCTCTGCTATCGCTTGTTATGATTACATGACCAGTCCATCTACATGTCTTTGATGCTTCCTTTTCGCTGGATTTTGTTGTACAAGTCATCATTGACAAACTCTTATAAATCACCATCAGTACACCTAATTCTCTCAAAAGTGCTGATGATTCTTGAGTACAGAGCACTGTCTCCCTAAGTATCCACTGCCAAACTAGAAGGTAGGGGGTCTCATGCATTGTTGTTAGACCAATTTGACATGAAAGTTGGAATGATCTTACATTACACAAGGCATTGAAGACTCTGGAGGTAAGGTAGGGATATAGAACAAAGCTTGAATGTCTATTGTTGTACTCTTAGCCATGATTTTTCTTCCTTTTCTTGGAATTCTAAAGGGTTTCGCCTTCCTTACTATGGGTGGCTGATCTAAGCCCACAACATTTTCACCGGCTCTCTGTTATTAATATGATTAACGCCAGCCTCCATAGCCTGTTATTGAAAGCCTTCTACTCCCTGCCCTCATCCCAGCTAACAAACCTCATTATTCATGCTTCTCCTACATGGATACTCCACTGTTTCCAGGCTGGCTGATCTTTGCTGTCCCTTGTAAGCAGGCTGGATTGCAAACCTTTTGTTCTGCCCTATAGGAATGGCTTTCTCTCCCCCCCGCTCTCTCTCTCGCTCTCTCTCTCTCTCGCTCTCTCTCTCTCTCGCTCTCTCTCTCTCTTTTCAGACGTTTATTAATTGTGTAGGCAAGTTATGGAACCTTTCTCACTTTTCAATTTGCTTATCTCAAAAATGAAAGTAAAAACAGCATTGATCTCTAAGGGCTCTTATGAAAAATCAAATGAGGTAATATACGTAAAGCATTTTGCCAGCCTGAAAACACTATTATTATCATTAGCCACATAACAGCACTAACAACTAACGTTTATATGGAGCTCATATGTGCCAGACACTGTGCTAAGCATTTACAAATATCTCATTTATCATGACAACAACCCTGGGAGGCGGGTGCTGTTTATCATCCCCATTTTATGGTTGAGGAAATTAAGGCAAGCAGAAGTCAAGTAACTTATTCACAGTCACTCAACTAGTAAGTGTCTGAGGCCAGATTGGAACCCAGGTCTTCCTGCCTCAACTAGCTGCCCCGTTTCCTGGCTCTGTCATTTGTTACCTGTATAACCTTTGGTAAATCACTTGTGAGCTCCTCCTTACATTAAAATGGGAGCTCCTTGGGGCAAGGACTGTGTTTTTGCCTCTCTTTATATGATTCTAGTGCTTACCATAGAGTTTTGCACACAGCAAGAGCTTGATAAATGCTAATTGACTGGCTGATTCTCTGGGCCTTGGTTTCCTAATCTGTTAAATGAGGGGAGTAGACTAGTTGACTTCTAACATTTCTTCCAGTTCTAAGTCTACTATTTTTGATGCTTTTCACATATGCAAATGCCACTGATTTTGCAAAGCCGTGTTCATCTCAACATCTTAAAGACAAGCTACTTGCACTGGTTATGAAGAAATGGCCTTGGGAGTGCAGTCCCAGTTATTCCCCACTGAAAGCCAAAGTTACTACTGCAGAGAGGGTTTTCTTTTCATTCATTCCCTCTGCCTTTCACCTTCCTAGACCCAAGCCCTGAACGGTTCCCTTTACTCATGGGATATGGTACTGGAAACCTTTTATTTTCAAAATTCAGCCAAGTCAAGGTCAGATTTAAAATTGTTTTACTAAAGAATTAAAAGAGTCAAACAAAACAAAGTAAGGTTCAAAACTTAAGCTAGTCGAGTTTACACAGGCATCGAGCTGATTTTTCATTTTAATACTGCCTGACCCTGTCCCTTTGGCCTTTCTGTCTAAGACTTTCAGGCAAAAGAGCCCTGATGATTAGTCTAGTGCTTTTGATTCCATCAGGCATTCCTTGTAAAATCAGACACACCAGAGGTTGGCACAGTGGAAAGAGCCCTGGCTCTGGAGTGCAAAGACCAGGGTTCACATCTTCCCTATGGTGCTTACTGCCCATATGACTTTAGACAAACCACATTGATTCCCTGGTCATCAGGGGAGGTTTTATTATTATCATTAACCACCCACTCGTTGTTGCTTATCCTTTGTTTTCAAAGGGCACAAATAGTATCATAGGGTGATGTTTTGACTCCTGCATGAATTGGAATTAAGTGAGGCAGAGCTGCACAAAGCAGTCAGCCTCACTTTCTCTTGCAAAGTTATCAAAGTCAAGTGGCAAGACAAAAGTCAAGAGGACTGGTGATGGCCCAGGATGCAGCAGGTGGATGAGGCTGGCACCTTCAATGTCTTACCAAGCCCTAAGTGCTCCACAACGCCTGCTTCAGCCACCTTCACGGCCATTGGAACAAATTGTTCTCATTGGCCCATTCAGCCGGGATGGAGGGAAAGTCTTCACGTGCTTGGGGTAGATATCCCCTCAAATCACTGATGGGTTTGAGGCCTGTTAGTTCCCATTAACCAGGGAGAACCATCAGAGATGGTTTATTAGGGTGTGAACACTGTGCATGTTGCAGCTTCTAGCAGCCGCAGGTGAGAGTTGGGTGAATCAAGCAAGCCCTCACATCAGAGGTGCTGGTTCTCCCTGAACACCCCGTAATAACTAGCATAAAGCTCCTACTATGTATCAAGAAGTGTGCTAAGCATCTTACAAATACTGTCTCACTTGATCCTCACGACCACCCTCTGAGGTACGTGTTGTTATTATCCCCATTTTACAGATGAGGAAACTGAGGCAAGCGACGATTAAGTGGAAAGTGTGAGATCGGTTCCCTTGTCTGTAAAACGATCCTCTAGGAGCCCTTCTGCCTCTAGGTCTCACATCCTGTGGATCAGATTTTCGCTGCTGACCTACTAGATTTCTTTTCCTTTTCTCCATCCATCAGAAATCAACCAACAAGGAAGGAGGTGGAATAGGGAAGGGAACAAGCATTTATTAAGCTTCCACTGTGTGCTGAGTCCATGCTAAGTGCTTTACAAATATCATCTCCTTTGATCCCCATGTGAGACCTGGGTTGTGGGTGCTATTACCACCCCCTTTTTACAGCTGAGGAAACTGGAACTGGGCAGCTAGGTGGCACAGTGAAAAGAGCCCTTGGCTTGGGATCAGGAAGACCTGAGTTCAAATGCTACCCCAGCTACTTACTAGCTATGTGGCCTTCATGTGTAAATATAAAAAGAAATGTAAATATAAATAAATATACATGTGTAAAAATCACTCATGTGTAAAATGAGCTGGAGAAGGAAATGGCAAACTACTTTAGTGTCTTTGCCAAGGGAACCCCAGATGGGGTCACAAAGAGTCAGACACGACTGAAAGCAACTAAATAACAACAAGAAACTGAAGCAGATAGAGGTTAAGTGACTTGCCCAGGATCACACAGCTAGTAAGGATCTGAATCCAATCTCTTCTGATTCTAGCAGATCCAGGGCTCTCTCCACTGTGCCCCCTAGCCATGTACAATAAGCATTTTTGAAGCACCTACTGTATACCAGTCACTGTGCCAGATGCTGCAGATACAAACCATTTCTACTCTCAAGGAGTTTATGTTCTAACAGATTTCTAGCTGTTGCTACACACAAAGAAAATTTGCCTCATGAGAACATTACTGCCTGCTCCTGTTATTTTGCATCCAGGTCCATTTATGTTTCCCTTCTCTGAACCCTGATAGCATTTACACACATAAATGACACAAGCACTTAAAAGGCATCGTGTGGAACGCTATACTGCTTCCAAGGAGACCTGATGTTCATAGAGGGTGGCCCAAAAGTCTTAGTGCAGGTTTAAACTATCAAAGCCTAAACTTGCACTAAGACTTTTGGGACACCCTGTAGGGTACCTTGATGTGCAAAGTGCTTATATATGTGATATCTGTTTATCTATCTATCTGTCTGTCTGTCTGTATATCATGTCTGTCTCTCTGCCTATCTATCTGTTTGTCTATCTGTCTATCTATCTATCTGTCTATATATCTATATCTGTCTGTCTGTCTGATTGCCTCTCTGTCTAGTATGTCTGTCTGTCTGCCTATCTATCTGTTTGTCCATCTGTCTATCATCTATCTATTATCTATCTATCTATCTATGTCTATCTATCTGTCTGCCTATCTGTCTGTCTATCTATTTCTGTCTCTGTCTTTCTGCCTATCTCTGTCTATCTATG